AAGGGCGGCCCAGCCCCGAGCCGGCCGGGGAGACGCCCCGCAGCGGCTCTCGGAGGGCTTCGGGTCGGGGATCGAAGGGGAAAGTCAGGGGAGCAGCTGCCTGCTTGGGGACGGCCCTGAGGGAGTTTTCATCCCCCCCGCCGCCACTGCACCAGCGCTGAATCCTCTCCGGCCGCTTGTGGTCTCCTCTGCAACTTCGGGCCACCTTTCCTTTTTATCCTTGGGTTGTAAACCTTCATCAGCTACACCTGCTTCTTTTCTACCCCCTTCCCCCTCCCCTCTCCCCCCAAATTACAGTGTGGATTTGGCAGAAAATTCTGTATTTTAGGTAAAAAGTTGTGCTAATCTTATCTTTTGTAGAGAGAGTGTTGCATCCTTTGTGCGAGTGCCGTGTTGGTAAACTGATGCGTTTATAATTAACCACATCGTTCCTACTCAGGGTCGTTTTTTTTTTCCCCACCTGCTGGCACAGTTTGGGCTGTAAGTGTGCAGCTTCAGGCCCTCTTCCTGCAATATTCTTTGCATCCCTCAGACACGAAGTCTAAGGTTGCTGGGACAGCACATGGGCCTCTAGGTAGGACTGCCAACAGTCCTTACGGATTTAAGAACAAAGTCAAACTGAGCCCACATCCTACATCCATGTTTAATATAAGGAAAATCTGATTTCAGCAGAATTAGGATGGGTCATCTGCTTAAATTAAAGTTGAAGTTAAAGCGTGTGTTTAGGGAAGAAAAATCTGGTGGAACCCGTCAAACTTTCTAATGCTCTTGTGCACAAATTATTGCCTGGGTTGTCTGAGATGTATTTAGGATGGCAACAAGCCATCCATATAAAAAATCAGTGTCTTAGACTATATTAGCATATTGCTCATCTTAGAACTTTCAACTTTTTTTTTAAAATTGTGGTTTTAGAGTATATTGTTGCTTTCTTTATTTAGAACTGCTGTTTGTCATGCCTATGCTTTTCTTTTTTTCTTCTCCTTGCACTGGCTGTTTATTTTCATAAATTTACTGGTTTGTGAAAGCATGTAACTGGGGTATGATTATGTTTACATAGTTTGAGGGGGTTATTTTGTTGCAGATAACAGTTTTCCAGAACTTTTTTACGTTTACATGAAAAATGTCATGACTAATGAAAGTTTTTAATCTCCTGGGTTATCAACTAAATCCTTCATAACCTAATTTTTGATGGTATGCTGCATCAGGTATTTTTTTTTTTTCAGCTGGCTAATTTACAGTATATTGTATCCATAAACACTGACCATCTGTTCTCTGTTTCTTCTATTTGTCAGGTCAGAATATTTTAGCAAATACTCTAGGCAAACTTAACTTCCAAGCTAGATTTTTTTTTTTTTTGCAAGAGTCGCTGTAACAAAGCATTACACGATGACTGAATATAAACTCTTTAGATCAGCCATGGAAGAATTTTTCTTGTTATAATATGTTCATTTGAAATGGATAAGGTTGAGATGGAAGTGATTTAATTAAGAGGTTCTATTCCTTCTTTAATTATTATAATAGCATACCCTGCATTATCACAAGTGCTCCTTCTGTACTCTGTTCAGCAAGTTCCATTGAGAATGCTTCTGGAACACAAGTTTAGACAAAAGCTCCATTGACTTCTAAAGAAGTTTGTTTTTCTTAAGATTTGTGGGGATTCACAGTGCAGTTATTTTCCATTTTCTTCCACAAGTTATGCAGGGATTGATATTATCAAGTATATGCAACACTGAAAAGATCAGCCTCTAGACTCAGAATAAACCAAAATGTAACCAGAACATGATCATATGAATTTCTATTTTTTGAGAAATCAGTAATGTAATATGTGCAAGTGCAGATGACTAAATGGAAGTGTGATTGTTGCTCATGTCAGCATGGCCGGGCTGCTTTCATCTATAGGAACTGCTAAGCGTTGAGTTTCAGAGGTGCAGGCTTCAGCATTTGATTGCTGGAAAATGTTTTCCCGTTGTGGGTCCCAACCAGGTATTCTGATAGCCAGAACATGCTAACAGCTCTGATACTGCGCCTTCATAGCTAGTTTCACCCTTTATAGCTAGAAGCATCTGGCATACATATGTTGGCATGTGCCTCAGTCACACCTTGATTTTGCTGTGTTCACATACTGATGGTCTCTCCATGGTCGTTGCTAGTAGGTGCACATAGTCCAGTTAAAACGATGCAGGAAAAAATTAGTGACAGTGGCCATAACCTCTTTCTATTTAATATAGGCCGAGAATCACCTATTGCAGACAGACGTGTTTTGTCAGAAATATGGAGGAATAGAAGGTTGATGGCATCACCTAATGGGACGCATGAAGAAAAGAACTGTACAGAGCCAGGTAAGATGGGAAAACTTATGTCTCACAAGCTCTTGAGATGTATTGCGTAGTGCTGCCATGACCAAGCTGCACTGATATGTTAGGGCAAACATAAAAGTGCCAAAAAAAGCAGGACTGTTCTGTGTAGAAATAAGGTTTATTGTGCTGTATAATGCCATGAGTTTATCTATCAATGGTAAAAGTTAATGTTCAGATATAGGAATGTTTTGGGGTGATTATGAGACTTGGGCTGACGATTTGATTTCTCTAATTTTGTTTCTTTTGGTGATTATTCCTGCCTAGCTGTTGCTGTGTGTATTGCACTGGTAATGAGAGGTGTACTTTTCTTGAAACTCTGGGTAGCTAAACATACAGTGTTTGAGATACCATCTGAGCACAGTGTGTTCAATGTGTTCGTTACCATTTTACATTTAATCATGTTTTGCTAGTTTAATGATAAACTATGTATTCAGAGTAGGAATTTAGATTGTTTGGAGGGGGATGATGGGGTAGAGGATATGGAAACCCTGGAATCCATTTTACTTCAGGATATCTGTCCTGGCCAGGCGATAATAATTGATTGAGGGCAGGGATAGATGACGCATTTTAACATCAGTGTTAGTCCACAATGCTTTCATCTTCCCATCTGTCTTTCTAGTGTGTATTTCCTTTCTCTCTCCTTGCCTCTCTGTGGTTTACGGTGTGTGGGAGATGAGACATTTTGCCAGTGGCACTAGCCAAATTAATTTAAAGTTCAGATTTTTTTTTTTTTTAAATATGACTCTTTGATCAGCTCTTTGATGACAGCAGAGTCTGTGCCTTCTTGCAAACAGTGACAGCATGGGATACTGTCAGCCCCAGGCGCTGGAAGAGTTTGAAGCAGTACTCCTGGCCCCTCAGGTACACGTTTGTTGAAATGCTGAGGCACCAGTTGTACAGATTGAGGATCACTACTGTGCTTGCGCACTTCTGAGAGGAGTGGAAAAATATTGCACAAAGTATGTGGATCCAAAAGTTTTAACTGTATCATGTTGATGTCCAAGAGCTTCTCTGTGCTTCTGTTAAGAACTTTGCGGGTTAGTTTGCTGTTGCCTGCATCTGTAACCTTATGATGCTGTTGATTTGTCTGTCAAAGTTGTTCACAGACAAGAAAGAAGGCAAAAATGACCTTTTGGAAACATGTTATTATTCTTGATGAATAGTCAAAAAATACTATTCTTTCCTACTACTCTTTAATTTTTCTCCACATAGGTGGATGCATCAATGTGGTCGTGTCTGAACCCATACTTGGTGGCACACTTGGAGCCAAGCCAACAAAGGCCACAAAATCGTAGAAGCTGTATCAGAAACATGCCCATCAAAGTTCTTGATGGGGATTTCTGTTTAGTATGAATGAGAACTTATTTTTTACAATGGTATGATAAAACTGCCAAGGGAAAACATATGTTTATGTGTAACTGGAGTACCAGGAGCAGTGCTGACTTCTCCAGATGTTTAGAATAAATTGCTCAGCTCCTTCCATTCCTCTAAAATGGTAAGATTAGTTTAAGAACAATTGGAATAAGCAAATACAGTTGGGTCATTTTGATGGGCTTTCTGAAATTCAAGTCATTGAGATGCGCTTTTCTCTCTAACCACAAGAGCTGTACACAAGAGAGGCCCAAATATGCCTGAGGATGCTGAGGTTTTGATAAAAATATCATGAGACTTGCATTAAATTCATGATTTCTAGTCACAGTGCTGGAACTAGCCTTTCTTTTTCAAGGTGTTTCTTCTGTTAGAATACAGATTTACAGATCAAATATGACACAGGATTGCAATTGCAGCATTTTTTAGTCACTTCCTGTTATTCTGTGGTTGTGTACAGTTTATCTCTGTCTATCTTCTGCAGCTGAATGGGGATTTAGATGCTGCAAGAGTGGCTAGATGTGAGATAGCTACAAATAAAGGGAACATCTGAAAATATCTGAAAGTGATGTTTGTTGGACAAGAATGAGTCTGTAAGAACCCATGGTTGTTATTGCTCATTAACAACTTCTGTAGGTTTAGGGTTTTCTGTTTGTTTTGTTTTGTTTTGTTTTGGGGGGGGAGTGGTGGTGGCTGTTTTTTTTTTCTTTTTTTTTTAATTCCTGTCTGGTAGCCAGAGATTGAGATTTGCCTTGTAATGAGAAGAAGGTACAATGACCTAAAACTTCTCAAAAATGAGCAAGTAGCATAGCTTGTCTCCATGGGAATGTAGCTTTTGTAATGCCCTGACTACATCTGGAAAAAGTAGTCCCAGGAAAGGTCAAGAGACTTGATCAAGATTTCATAGAAAATTGGTGAGAGAGCATGGATTTTCAGTTGGAATATGCAAGCTTTCAGTCATGCGCTTATCCCAATGTAATAAAAATCTCAGGAATGTGCTGTCAGACACTTTAAATGGCTGGACTTTATTTCTGGTCTTTTTTTTTTTTATCTTAAGAACAGATAGTTAATATGTATGTATATTGTCTGAATATAGTTAGTGCTCTCTGTATGCTCCTTCATGAGAAGTACTTATTCTTACCTATGTCATTTCTGTATCTGCCTTAAGCAGTAGGGGCCCTACCAATGCACAGCTGTGTATATGGTATATAGCAGTTTTCTTATGTGATGTGGATATTTTTCTGTGTGTGTTTAGGATATGAGAACTTCATAATACCTTGGGAAATGCAAGTTCTTGCTGAGAGCCTGTTAATCCTTTGTGTCATTGCCGTGCTATTGCTGCGTTCCCTCTTTATTAGCTTCCCACACAAGTCTGCAGCTTTACTTCCCTTTTCTCAAAGGCTTTCAACAAAGTTAATTTATTTACCACTTCACTCCCTTTTCTTACATACATGCAAATAAAAAAAAAAAATCCTCCGTTGTCAGAATTTGCAGCTATAGATGTTTATAAGACCATGAGATCCTTGCAGTTCATGACAGTGGTAAGAAAGGCTCGTCCTCGGTAGTATACCTTGGGAGAAAAATTCATAAGCTTCTAGAAGTAATGGTAGGAGTCTGTGGAAGCTGCTATCTGCTAGAAGCTCACATAGCCTACCCTGAGATTGTCTCATTTACTGAAGTAGATAATTTTGTATTGTGTTCTTCTGGAAACATTATTAATGCTTCTGGGGCCATTGTATCAGAACAGAAAAAACTTTGAAGTCTTGGCAATGCTGCTTTTAAAAAGAACCCTGAGGCTCTGACAAAAGAAAGGAAAATATATGTGTGTGTATATATAACTAGAAGAGAGAGGTTTTTTTCTAACATTTAGAGGTTAGAGGGACTGATTTTCATGAATATCTCAAGAGGTGCTGCACATTTTTTTCTGACAGTATCTATAACTCCTTATGACCGCAGAATAGTTACTATCTGTCCCGTAACAGCTGCAAAGGAACTGTAGGTCAGCTGCAGAAAGGAGGTGGAGCACTTGTGAGCGCTGAGCCAACCTCAGCTCTAGTCTGCACTAAGACCAAATCCTCACCAGAGTTAATGTGTTCTGTAGCATTTTTCCACTAAAGATCCTTCCTGGCTTGAAACTTCCCCACTGCCAGAAGCTCCTCTGCCATGGAAAGATGTCAAGGAGCCAGGCTGGAGGGCTTATAGATTGTATGTAGAAGGCTCTGGACTTCAAAAATTTCATGAGAGCCTGGGATTTTTGAATTATGAATCTTATGCATATTTCATATTGAGTAACTCTGTGGATTGCTGCTGTGGGAATCCCTCTTTGAAGGAAACCAAACTACCTTTTCTTTACGACTCTGAAAACTTTTCCTGGGTAAATAAATATCTGTGGGAGGAGAGGTTGATCTGACCCTCACGTAACGCAGAGCAATGTGAGAGGGAGAGTAGTTGTCTCTAGCATCTTAACAGATCTCATTAGTTTGCAACCAGTTTTTTTGCTTTATCCAAGCTCTCACTTCCATCTGCCATCAGCTCGCTAGCTTGCAGTGCCATCTGCCCAGCAAGGCTGATTTATAGCTTCTCTGCTCCAATGGCTTGCCTCTTGTTTCAAAATGTTCCCATGACTCCATGTCCTCCAGAACTCTGAGTAACGTTTCCAGAGCAATTACAAGGTGGGGTGACTGGGTGATGCGTTGTTTCTAACCATGGGACTCCACTGGGTCATGCTGGGCTGTTAAAGCAGCTGTTCTGGACTCCTTTCTGTTGCGAATGTTTTCAAGTAATCCCCGTATACAGTACAGAGAATATTTAAACTACTTGCTGTGAATTAGAAGTGTATCGGAATGTATTTTCATTAGTCTTCTGACACCTGTCAGTGAGCTGCCTTGAAATTGAAAGAGTCGGTGGGGTTTTCTGTCCAGTGGTTTGTCAGCTTTGGACAGTTCATGAGCTACATTGATTTTAAATAGCTGGGGATTTGGTTCAAGTGTGTTCCTGCCATTGTTATTGGTAGGTAAAGATGGATTGTGGGCTGGGGGAAAGGCAGGGGTTAGCATTTCTTTCTGAGTCGTGCTGCCTTTTTGCTTTAGAATGAAAAGGCGCATTGTAGCAATGCTTTCTGTTCTTGCAGCGAGAGAGAAAGAATCAGTCCTCTACAGTGAAATAAAGTGTGTTTCCCAGCAGCATGTGTATAACTGAGTTCTGAGTCAGGATCAAAAGTCATTAAGTCTGTGTGTATTTTACACTGTTAGTTATAACCTTGGGGACTCATGTAGGATGTGATGCATTGTAGAGAAACTACAGAAGTCTTAGACAGTTTTGTTAACATACCATAGAGAGTACAAGAGTCTGTTACTTTTCCTACAAAAATCAATGATAGTGTTCTCACTGACTAGGGAAGACGAAAGTAATTTTCCAAAAGGATAGAAAAAAGCTATTTCCTGTACATTTATAGTAAAGACACTATAGGAAGCATTGATTTCCATCAATTTTATTTAACAAATGCAGTGCTTAGTGAAGTGCATCATTCTCAATATGCTGGATTGAAGTATGCCTTTTTTTCTTAATCCTTATAGACACCTTAATATATAAGATCATAAACTTTGTGTAATAAA